TTTTTCTTATCTCCAACTGAAATATATATATATATATATTGGATAAAATACAATTTTTCTTTTCTTTTTACGAATTTACTAAGGAGTAAAAGCTGATTATTGGGATGTAATAATTTACTTTAAAGGATGTTTTTTTTTATGTATAGAGTAATTTATATTTTAGAAGAATTTAAAAAGAATTACCGGGATGAAACGTTAATTCTATAGGAACGATGCTATTAATTTTTCAAGCGATAGAAGTTTTTCTTGGATTTTTTCTGGTAAAAAATCAGTAAATAAAACGTAATTTTTAGGATAGATTTTTGCTTCTTTTATTAGAATGCCATTTTTTTTTTTCTTTACAAAGATGAGAAAAATATCGATTGGATTATAATCTGCAGTAGAGGCGTGTTGAAGTAATGCGATACATATTACCTGTGTCGTGTGCATGCCACCATTACCCTTCCATTACAACACCTTCATTAATACCTCCTAATCTGGTTTCGGTCATTTTTTACCCAATCCAAACCGATAAAATACTATAAAAATAACCTTAAATAGGTAGTATAGTAATTCTACAATCTTATTGCACCTATTAAATTCCCCCCCTGCAGACTATTTTTGTTATAACTCGGACGTCTTTGGCTGATAAATGGTAACGATTAATCGTGTTCTCGCTTGTGTGTGTGTGATGCTGGAAAGGATTTCTAGACGTGGCCAAATTGTGCCAGCAAATAAGTTCAAAAGCAACTACTGCTTCTATCGTTCAAACGTCAAGATTCGAACGTCAGGATGAGCGAGCGACAAACATTCTCTCTTCATTACCTTATCTGTAACTGTCCGAGTCGTAAGTAAACAAAGAGGATCGCCCTTTAAAAGGACAAGAAGAAAAATGTTGGTCAAGAAGAGTGGAGATTGATCGGACGGAGAAACATCCTACTATATTAAGATACGTATTTTTTGGTCAACGGTTAAATCATTGTGTCCAAAGTCTGACCATTTGTCCAACTTGTTCCACGCTCCTTTAGACAACGGGCATTTATTGTTAGTATAGGTCTTCGACCCTCTTCCTATGCCTTTTGACTTTTAATTCCTCTACAAATCTTTCCTCTCTTGTACTATAAATTTATATATAAACGAGTTAAACGACTACGTAAATTCATCTAAGTCTTCTCGAATTTTAACTAAATACAAAGTTTCTACGTGTGTGTTTTTTGTTATTTTCTTCAATTTATTAAGTTTAAAATCAGATCAAATGATTTTTACATTCCATTTAATGAGAAATTTAGAGGATTTTCTACGTTTTAAACAGGGAGGAATTCGAAATTAACTACAATTTATGATTTGGATTTAAAAAAGTAATAATAATCTAGAGAATTGGGGGGAATAGTATAAAAATTTACGTGTTAAATGCTTTCTAGAGTTAAATATTTTCTAGAATCGGAATTTATTTTCGTGAATTTCAATGTTTCTTTCGTAGAAAAGTGTACAAAAAAATTACATTTTCGTTAATAAATCATCATCACTATCGGCTCTTCTACATCAGGAATACGTTGGAAAAAATAAAAATAAACGATGATAATTATGAATTTCTATGCAAACGAAGCAGAAACGTAACGAAATTTCTTCATTTTGAATACAAAAATCCAGATAAATATACAAGTCGAAGAACACGGTAAAAGGCAATAGAAGTCAAGAGAAGGGTCGACTTTCATTTCTATCCTATAATGTCGCAGACGGTAATTATTTCCATTTGATGTCTCCGATTGTCAGTCACACAGCATGACTCACAGCTTGTCAAGACAGTTGCTGCACTTCGATCCCATCCAGTCCCTTACCCCAACAGGGATTGACTTTCTGCCTATCTCTCTCTCTCTCTCTATATATATATATATATATATATAATAGAAGTATATAACTGCATAAACGTCCATTTTTTTTAAATCNAATAAAAAAATAAAGATGTTTCATCCTTATTTTTCAATAGAGTTAGCCTTTCCTAATTGTAATTCCTAAGAGTAATTGAGAGTTAAAATTTTAACTCAGCATTTTAACTAAGCATTATTTTAAAATGTGTTTCCAGGTTGATTATTAAGATGTGTTTTCCTTATAAATAATTAAAATAATTAAATTCCGCATCCGGATAAATAGAGATGATACTTCGTTTTCTATACTCATTTATTTTCCTTATAAATAATTAAGATAATTAAATTCCGCATCCGGATAAATAGAGATGATACTTCGTTTTCTATACTCATCTTTGATTTCTTTATATTTTTAGGGGGATTTCCTGATAGGGGACATATGGAGCAGGGAAGACCCCGTCCTTATCCCCGGATAACTCGACCCCAAACTCAAGATCAATACTGTTATAGCTCCTCGGAAGAGGAGGAAGGTGAAAATCCTAAACTTTATTCAAGCGACAGAGAAAAAGATGGTTCCTATCTAAGATCTAGAGGTGAGAACTTCTTGTTTATTTATTTATTTAATACGTAAATCTTATCTATTTTTGATTATACTATATCGAGTTGTGGATCTTTTCTTCACTATACAAAACTACACTTTACGTTTTCTTCTTCCTAATTTTCCAAAAAAAAGAAATACTCGAGGGGAAAAAAACATATCTAAGAAGGAAACTAAACAAAAACATTCTTCTTCTTCTATTTTTAAAAAAAGATTTAAAAATTGTTTTCTCTTCTGGAAATTTAAACCGAATCTATGACGTCAACTAATTGCTTGATTCTAGAATAAAATAAAAAACAAAATACAAAAAAAAAATATATATTTTTAGAAGGGGTTTGTATATTTTTTTTCTTCTTCTTCTTCTTATCCCTCTTTCATAAAGGAAAAAAAAATAATAATAATAAAGGAAGAAACAAAAGAAGATGGCTACGAAGATCCTGTTCGACCGAGCGTAACAGAGAAGGTGGACTTCTTTTAAGGAATTCATTTTTCTTCCCTAAAAAATTTCCCCCTTTTTTTTTCTTCTCCTTTGTTTTTTCGGATGTTGTTTTTGTAAAAACGGGATCCTCTTTCCACAGTAGCGAGGTAATTACCTCGAAGTAGGACGACAGAACGACAGAGAAGAGAGAGATTTTAAAGCTTCTCGGTAATGACCAGAGGCGAGGTGATGAAAGAACACTTTGCAAATATTAATGGCGGATGGACACGCGATCGACACTAGCGCCAAACCTACTACTACTACCCCTTGCCATTGTTCTGTCTGACGTAACAGAGATTCGATTCTGCTCTTCTATTTTTTTTTTTCTCGTCTTTCTTGCATCCGAGTGATGCGGATTCTTATCCGATTGAATCACTCTAACTTTAATTCGTTAAAGTTTAAAGCTGTAAAAAAATTATTCTTTAAAAAAATAAGCTGGAAGGAAGCGTTGGAAACAATTTCTACATCCGTAAAATTAAATTTTACGATAAAAATAGGAGGCAACACCTTTACGTGTTTGGTTTAACAACGCGAAAAATCAAGAAGTTAACGATAAGAAGGGGAAGAAAAAAGGTTTTTTTTTCTTTTTTTAATCCATTAATACGAGTTAAATTCCGCCCAGTAGCTGCAGAAATAGGAAAAAAAGCAAACGTTTAAGTGCTAGGAACAATTACATACCAGGTGTGATCCTTGCATACACTTGATTAAAGGTAATGGTGGAGTGGAGAAGCGTAACAGCATCGAATGGTATTAATGTCGGAGGGATTATATCTGCTGATGAATTATTCACCTCCATTCGAGTCTGTGTGTGTGTTTTTTTTCTTTCTTTCTTTTTCTCTTCTATATATTCAGGTGACAATGGGTGATTGATTATTCCTTATAAAAGAATGGGTTACGTCGTTCCGATGTCGTCGAAAGCAATCTAACTCGTTCCTTTCTCTAACACACTAAAGACCGCCCGTTATCCATTATGTGACGTCACTTCCGGAATTCTCCTACACATTAGCAAACAAATAGGCATATCTGGACGGAGCGAGGTTAGAAGAAGTGAAATTATAGCTCGAGTCTCTGCAGCATCTTTTGTCCGGCATCCTCATCACTCCTAAGGGAGCCACCACTCTCTTCTAATCGCCATTTTCCATTTATATATACACCTCTCCGATGGCAAACGACAATTGTCTGCTCTATTTTGAGAGAAAATAAACAGGGAAAGTACATATGTAATTTTTCTGCTTAATAGAACCGTACATTTTAATTGCCCCTTTAAGGCTGCTTTACCGTCCTGCTCATGGTCTCGTGGAGAATTTCGTATTACAGCTTACTTTAAAATCGAATATATATTTTTTTAAATATATATTTAAATAATTACTGAAGACGGAACTTACCGTCGACTAAATATAGATTGAGGTAATTCCATGTAAAATTCAAATCTTCAACTTGTTGAGGGGGGATTTTCTGGGATGAGGAGAGAGAAAGCTATTTGAGACAGTTAAAGCTGAAACTATTGATTTCTTGGGATGCTGTTGAAGTATCCGCCAGGACTTTAAAGAACTTTATTATTTCCCTAGGGATTTGCCTGTACATGTCTTTAAGAATAGCCTATGGGTATCCTCTCGTAAAAGAGGAGATTGTTCTCATTATGATCCAAAGGTTTTCTGTCTAAAGATTCCAAAGGATTTTCCAACGATTTGTACCGAATATTCAACTGGAATATTACCACTTTGCATAAAACTATTCAATTGCGTGTTACCTCTTAAAAAAGTCCAAGTAGAAAATTTTTTAGTAATTTCCTTCCATCCTCCGAGATTACCGGAAAGTGGATAAAGTTAACTTTTTCACTTTGCATTTTATATTCTTCTTCTTTTCGTGTTGGAATCTCGATTATCTTTTCACTTCTATTCTTACTTGTTCCATTCTAGAATCTCGATTAAATTTTTTAGATCCTTTCTGGAAAAATTTAGATTATCTTGTATTTTTCTCTTCTCCTCTTCATCGAGATATCTCGATTTTCTATAAAATTCCTTCTCCTCCTCCTCCTCCTGGAAAAATCTCCATTACCTGTAACTTCTCTTCTCTTCCTTCTAGATAAATTTCATTATCTGTCACCTGTGCCGATTCTATCCTGAAAATCTCCAAATTTATCAAGGATACAATCATTCTTTCTCTAGAAAATCTTCATTATTGTAATTTTACTTATCCTTATTTTGAAAAAATCTCGGTTTTCCATTTTCTCATCTTCATTTTGTACTTTTCCTTATTCTCACCCTAACAAACTCTTGATTTTCTTGCAATTTTTCCTTTTTTTAATCCTGAGAAATATCTCCATTATCTGTAATTTCACCAACGATATTTCATTCTGAAAGAAGATTTACACCGTTGATTCGTCTATAGAGAGATAAAATCTAGATTATCTTTAATTTTTCTTAGTTCCATCATGGGATTAGTCTTTAAATTTTCTCGTCTTTATCCCAGGAAAAATTTGGATTATCTTTAATCCTTCTTATCCTCATCCTGAAGAAGCGTTCATTTCCGTATCTATTCTTCTCTTCATCCTCTAAAGATCTCTGTCATCTTTATCCTTTCTCTTCCTTATCCTAAAAAATCTCGGACATCTGTAACGTCGCTTATTTTTATCCTAGGAAAATCTCACTTATCACTCTTCCTATCTGCATCCTGTACAGTCAAACGTGATCAATTTTCATTACAGGAAAGTAAAGTAAACATTTTTTTTAAAGAAGGAAAGAGTTAAAGTGTGGTATGCGGTAATCTTTTGTAGGAAACAAAGTGAATATAATTAAATAAAACCGGTTAATTTCACGGTCCCATCAGACCAATCTGTTAATAAATTCAATTCAGAAGAGACAGTTTATCACGCAAGAGATGCGAGAATCAAAAGGAAAAATAATTGGCTCATCGTCGTTTCACATTTGACTCAACCAGTTCAACTTGTCATTAATCATTCACCGATACTCCAATTCAATTAGATGATGCCTGATGTGTAGTCGAGTAGAAAGAGGAATTATAATACACCTGCTCATCCTCGACGTCCCACGTGACGATAACCCCACAAAAATTATCTTAATGAATACAAATTATGATTATCTACAAAATTATATTATCCACAACATTTTCACTTCGATACATTTCTCAGCATCTTTTTCTAAAACTCCAATGATTGTTAACGTTTTGGCAAGGGATACTCGCCTAGAAAAATGATTAAAAATAACTTGCTCGGATTAAGGAACCGTAATTATGATCTTAAACACTCATTTCTAACTCTAGCTTATACGTGCATCCACTATTAATGTGATAAATCTCGAATTTCTCGTCTTAATCTTCTCGTTGATTTACCTCCAACTCTTTATCCTTCGAAGAGTACGAAGATGATGCTCCTTTAAAAAAAATCCTTAAGGTTGTCTTTTATTAAGGAGATTATACTTTAAATTTCTAAGTTGTAAATATCCAATTTCTCGTCCAAGATGGTTTTAAAGTATGATTTATAGAGCATCTTGCATGCTTTGTTGGATTATTCGAGTAAAGTCCACAAAGATGTGGAACGTTTCTATGTAATTTATTGAATAAAAATAGTCATTTTATACACTTTAAGAAAGTTTCGACTTCTTTTTTTGTCTAAATTTATTAAGACAATAATCGTTACTCCGCTTAATTTTCATAGAAAATGTTAAAGTTCATTGGAGAGGAATGGGATGAAATTGTTAAAATTATCCACGAAATTTATATTTGTACATTTTGTAGAGTTATACCTATCCACGAATAATTGCAGTATCGTTAATTACAATTAATTTTAATTGCTTTAATCATTCATTTCCTTAGTATTGCGCACTTCTTTAGCGTTACGTCGAACTAATTATACACTTCCTCGCATTCAAAGGGCTATTTATATAATCCTGACAGATATCCGAATCAATAGTTCCCTCCACCGACCTTAATGCCTCCTCCTGATTACATTACAGTAGTCATTAATTTACAATGGAACATTCCAATGCCTCAACCAACATTCACTATCTCTGCTACTACACAAAATCCGCATCCTCTTCCCGAGCATCCTTCAACTTTTGGTTAGCATCTCTCTCTCTCTCTCTCTCTCTCTCTCTCCAACCAGACGTTTACTGGAGAGTAGGAAGATTTTATCAAGCAGAAAATTGAATAATTCTACCGTAGAAAAAAAGTACCAAAAAATATATAAATTATTACATATAAATTTTAAGAAGATATAGCGTTATATTAAATCGCCAGTTATAGATTTATGATAAAGAATTGAGCGAATTTTGTCATTTCCTTTCTGTCAATATATTTTGGTCATGATTTAGTTCCAGGGTGAACTTTATTGACTCTTGTTCCACTAGGGAGAGCAGATAGCTATTTGATGGCTATTGATCTAAGCTGGATAACGTTTAAATTCCTCGAAAGATCATTGTTATCTACCACCGACTTTATGATTAAATAGCGGACCATCCTTTATTTAAATACATTTTTCTATCATTCTCTTGGCCATT